GAAAGGTGGGGCGGAGGAGGAGGAGCGGCAGACTTCTCATCATTATGCGCCACTGCCAAGAAAATGAAATCGCGCACGTACATTTCTGTTATTTACTATTTTTCTGAGTAGGGAAAAAATTGTTTACGAGTATACGAGCCAGCAGTAAATAAAATAGAGCGGTGTTTAGAGGGAAATAAATGATGAGGCAATAACCCGACAATAATCTTTTGGTGCACGCTTCGTCAACTTATCTTTGTTTGCTTCTTCTTTTGTAGGAGATCGTTTTGAAGAATGGGTCGCAAACGTTCGGCTGGTGGAAGAAGCCCCCAGTGCACCCGGTCATGAGGGTTTACATCTACAACGTGACCAACGCGGACGCGTTCCTCAACAACGCGGAAAAGCCCGTCTTAAATGAACTGGGGCCGTACGTCTACGTGTGAGTATCACATTTGCATCGTTAAGAAAGAAAGAAACAATCGAGTACTGTACCGTGACTGCCACATTGTAGTAGGTTTCTCACTGCGGTAATTTCCTCTGGGGTACGATCCATACTTTCAGTACTCTACTGGGAATTCCCTGTCAACTGCGCCGAGCGCGAGAACAACGGATGCCTATGCCCGTGGATACGTTCGAAATACAAGCAGGGGAATTAGAGAATCAATAACCATCAGTTGTTGTGGGGTTTTGTTTCATTTCGGGAGAAAAACCGCATCTGTGCCGTGTGCCGCTCGTTATAGATGGCAGTATGATACGTAGTCATGATGTGCTCTAACTTGCTCTCCCATAAACACGAACACATTGCAAACGAGGGGTCTACAACTCAAATGTTATAATTTGCGAAAGTTGAAAACGCGTGAATCTTAAGCAAAGAATCGTAAACATTAAGAGAGTTCTCGTGGATGCTGGTGAATATCAACTGAATAAAATTGAATACCACCTTTTGCTTGAACCGAGAATACCCGAAGTTGTTTGTGGACCATTCGATTTGCAGATAGTTCAGTGACATTTTTACGTCCAAATTGGGGCCCCCCTTGTCTGACCCAAATTCTGACTAGATTTTAGTCCAAAAATTCCGTCAATGTGACGTGGATCTTGACATTTTCCCTGCAGTTGCCTCCCGGAGTCGTGACGTCACGTTCATATCGAGGGTCATTACCAAAGGGGTGGGCACTCGCGGTCCCCGCGGGGCTATAGGAAGGGGGGGGGTCGGGCTTCATCTGATAAGAATGACTGTTCATCGATTAACCGTTCACCGTCCGCATGCAATGACCAACCCTGACACTGACGCTTTCTAAAATAGTCTTTTTCGCACACACGAGGAATGACACGCGTGGCTTGCTCGCGGTTTCATAATGTAGCGTTCGCGGTCAAAATGATCATGTTAAATTATTCGATTAATAATGGAACACCCTCAATTTTTTTTCCGCCCCACAGGGAAACGTGGGAGAAAGTCGCCGTGGCGTTCAACGACAACGGGACCGTCTCGTTCCAGCAGAAGAAGGTCTTCAGGTTCGACCCGGAGCAGAGCGTCGGCGACATCGAGGACATGGTGGTTGTCCCCAACATTCCTATGCTGGTGGGTGCGGCTGGTTAAATCGCCTTTCTCTTCCTTTTTTTAAAAAAATCTTTAGTTGTTTTTTTTTTTTTTGTTTTAATTAATTTTGCAATTGAGTGGATGTGACTGACCCTCCGTTCCTCCCCCGCAGAGCGCCACCTCGCAGTCCAAGCACGCGGCGCGCTTCCTGCGGCTGGCCATGGCCTCCATCATGGACATCCTCAAGATCAAGCCGTTCGTCGAGGTGTCTGTCGGGCAGCTGCTCTGGGGCTACGAGGACCCGCTGCTCAAGCTGGCCAAGGACGTGGTGCCCAAGGAGCAGAAGCTGCCCTACGAAGAGTTCGGCCTCATGTACGGGGTGAGTAGCGGTCGGGGTGCGGGGTTGCGGGTTCCAGCCGTCGCGACCACGACCTCGGCCTCCTCGCCGTCCCCGCGGCCCGGCCCCGCCGGACGTCCCCCCCGGCTCAAGCTCTCTGCCCTGTACTCAGCTCCGCAGCGTGGCCAAGATGAAGGGCATCTCGGACGCGGGCGCGCTCGTCGCGTCGCTGCCGCTGCGCAACATTGTCCAGGTGGTGGCCGACGGCCTGGAGATGATCCTGAGCGCGCCGCGCACCCGCCGGCCCACCAACATCATGCGCTTGCCCGTGCCCTCGAACGGCATGTTCCACAACCCGCGGCGGCCGCCGAGGCCGCGGCCCTTCCGCCAGCCGGGCAACTTCGGCCTCACCAGACCGGTACCTCACTGCCTGCCCGCCCGACCAGACACTCAGCACATTTTTTTTTCTTTTTCCCCCACTCTTAGGTCGCTTTTATTTATTTTTCTTTTTTTTCTTTTTTCAGTTTTCATGCTCCTCATTTTTTTTTCTAGCAGCTCGTGTTTTGTTTGGCTGAAGTTGCACAGCAGAAATTGGTCAATTTTAATTGTTTTTGTTGCATTATTCACAGGCTTTTGTGTTGTTTCCTTTGTCATTCTCTTCAACCTTGTTTCTGCATGGACTTGTGTAAAGCACAAATGTTTTCTTTTTTAATACTTTGTGATTGTTTGGCATTTCAAATTCAAGCTTAATATTTATTTATCTTTTATTACTAGTGCAACTTTTTTTAAACGTGAAAAATAATGAACTAAAGCCCACATTATATCCCATAATACTATTCTTTGTATTTTTGTTTGTTTTAGAAAAATGGAACAGCAAAGGAGGTGGTCACCATTTTCACTGGAGCAACTGACATTACTCGATATGGATTGATTGACCGATTTGATGGCAAGTCTGCTTTGCCTCACTGGAAGACAGATGAATGCAACCGAATCAATGGATCAGACGGATCAATTTTCCCTCCCCACATCACCAAGAACACCACTCTGTATGTGTATGACAAGGACATGTGTCGTCTTCTGCCACTGAGGTAAGTCTTTCCGTCTTCTTACAAACAACAATTACTGTATACAACTGTTTCTAATCTTGTCTGTCCATTGTTCTTCAGGTTCTTGCGAGAAGTGGTTACAAATGGTGGTGTAAATGGATACCGGTTCACCCCTCCTGAAAACGTATTTGCTGAAGTTTCTCAGAATCCAGAGAACGATTGTTTCTGCCCAAATGGTCCCCCCTGTTCCCCTCACGGACTGATGAATGTTTCATTCTGTCAATATGGTACTTAATTGCTGAAGGCTATAGTTTGTTGTGTTACATGTTTCAGTGTTAATATCTAAATATAACACATTTTTCCAGATTCTCCTGTTATGTTGTCCTTCCCTCACTTCTACTTGGCTGACCCTAAGCTGCGGGAGGCTGTGATTGGTGTTGATGCCCCTGACCCAGAGAAGCACAGACTCTACATTGACGTTCACCCTGTAAGCCAAAAGAATTTCCTATTAATTTACTGCAATCTATTACTGTTTTTAGATGGTCGCCAAGACTTTTTCTACTGGAAGTCATAGTGTTCCTCCTCCTTTTCCTTTTTGTTCTGTGTTTTATTAACCTATGCAAATCATGTGTTCGCAGAAAATGGGAACTGCCCTTGGTGCCAGAGCTAGAGTACAAATCAACCTTGCTGTCAGCCAAGTTGTTGATATTAAACAGGTGGCTACATTCCCTGATATAGTTTTCCCCATTATGTGGTTTGAAGATGTAAGTATTTCATCATTCAAATTGAAAGAAATTGTAATGAAGTGATCTTAGTACTTTATTTGTAGTCTAATTTATTGATTTCACTTTTCTAGGGTATTGATGGCCTACCTGAGGAAGTAACAGGACTTCTAGCACTAGCTCAAAATGTTCCTCCAGTTGCCAGATCAGTTCTAATGTATGGGCTATTTGCCGTTGGTGGCTTACTCCTTATTCTCGCTGTTGGGTGCCTTGTGAGATCATCAGGACGGCAAGAAACACTTAATTTAGAAGGAACCCAACACTATGCTAAACCTAATGAGAAGAATGGCAAGAGCCACTCAAATGGCAAATCACTGGAAACTCGCACAAACCCTGCTTTTGAACAGTAGGTTTTCAAGTGAAATACACATGGACTTTTAATTTGTACAATTTTTGTTGTAATATGTTCAATAATTATTGTGTCTCTTGACGAACAATACTAAATTGGAACAAGATTGTTTAGAGCTGTGACTAATGGAAATAATTTCCTTCTTTTACTTTTTGACAAGAAAGGAGCAAAAATCACTTGATGTTGTGCACTTTTTGCCATTTCCAATGTTATTCTTGGAGTTTAATGTAGCCTGTACCTGTGCATTGCAATAGTCTATCTTTGCCGTGCTAGATTTTCAAAGAATCATGTGTTTACACTCTGTAATGTTTTCATGTTGGAGATGACTAGGTCTGTAAGAATTAGGCCAATGTAGAGGAGCCTATTACTTACAAAATTTGTGGTGCCATTGTGCTTTATATAAAGTCACGGAGTAGTCTTCTTGTATGCTCCAGATATGCCTTGATGGTGCGTTTTGTTGTGCAATCTCTTTAAATCTAAATTGACATAAAAGTATTTCTGATATTTTATACAATTGGGACCATGACATTCCTTCTAGTGAATTGCAGATATATTTTGCGATTGTTTCATTGGAGTAACTATTCCTCTGTACATAGGTGTACTCAATTGTCATGTCTGGTTGTACGTAATGGGGCACAATTGACTCCTGTATATTTTTAGAGGAATGAAATTTTTTACCCAAACTTCTTGGGAAGTGCTTCATAAAATGTGATCACTTTTAAAACCGAATGTGTTGATAAGAATGTGATTATGTACAGGTCATTTTGATGTGTGCAAGTGTGTGATGTGATTGTTGTTAGATAATTATCCTGTTAAGTCTTTAAAATACCTTTATTTTTCTTTTGGCCTCTGTCAATTATCAATTTTATAGCTCAGATATAATGTTAATGAACCATTTATTCTAAGAATTTTTATTTCACGTCACTTTACTTAGATTTTCATTTATTTTTACCACCCACTATATCATTAAATTTCCAATCGCAATCTCTTTTTTGTTTTAAAACAGCCCCATGTCATGAATTTGAAATTAATTATGGACCTATCAATTGTTAGTCATACATTCATGAACTCTTTAGAGCATTTATGTTTCAATTGAATCATTATCTTTAGATGTGATGCGTCAGAGCACAGTTCTATCCTTTCTGTGTTGGATCAGTTACAAATCCTGTTCGAAGCAGGACTGAATATTGCTCAAGTATGTAGTTATTTTCAGATGTTTACATCATAAACATCCTTTTAATTGATTCCACACTATTGTATTTTTAAGAAAAATGGTTTGTATTAAATTGCCTCCCAAATTTCTATATTTGCATACCAGCATCTTATATTTGTATCCACAAACCTTTACCCTGCTTTGCTCTAAAATGTACTTTATTTTAATCTTCGGCTGTTTTTGTCCAAATGTGTGTCTGGGAGGCCCTGTATTATAAGAATTGCATGAATGAAAATTAGTGATTATTTTATTATAGATGTAATAAGTATTAGAGGAGTGAGTATACAGGAGACGTAAATGAAAGAGTATTAGATATGTGTAACGAAATCCGTCCAAAATTAAAAACTTTTACTCTAATTTTGTGATTTGTTGAATTGCAAAGCAGTTCAAGATGGCCTCTATTTGGTTGATGGCTTACAGTCATCTCTGGTTAGTCAAAAGAATTGAATGGGATCACACCCAATGAATTTGTAAAAATATAAAATAAAAATAATTGTTGTATTTGCCATATTTCAGATTGATTACTGTTTTTAAAAATAAAACTTTGTGGACTGTTTGTTTTTCTTATCCTTTGAAGTTTACTCTCCTCCTTCTGGAACCATTTCAACCTCTTGGATATTAAGTATGTTGTACACATGATACTAGCGTAACTTATCCCTTTTAAAACAAAATGAGCAGGGGAATTACACATTTTGGGAAACCAGCATCAAACTTTCTTACACAACACAAGTTCGTCGTCATTCGTCTAAGCTTTGATGTGCTTCGCGAGCGCGAGTTGGGGACAAGAAGACGCCAAAATAACGCATGATTCAAATGAGCCGAACTTATGAAATTCAAACTGCGCACTCCTTCGCGCGTGCTACGAGCGGTGCATTGTGGTCCCAGAAAGCCAGCCAATGGGAGCGCTTGTCCACCGCAGACGAAGCCATGAACTTTGGCCGTGGCTGATGTCTCAAAACACAACCACAACATAACCTGTCGCGAGTACTTTGCACACTTTAAAAATTGTGTTTTCGTGCCGTATTACTTACGTCGACAACCTACACTGTTCCCTCTGTTACTGTTTGCGCCAGAGATACGGTGTCCACCACCTGTCAGTGCAACGGTCTCGCTGTACGCTAAACAACAACCACCTGTGGGTTTTAACAGCCGCTGGGTTCTATTATTTAGTTGACAAAGTTATCAACAATGAAAGTAAGGCAGGGCATCCGGATCACAGCTGCTCTTGTTTAGTTTTAGTTCTAGTGGTTTAACCCCCATACTAGAACGGGACATCCTCATTGATGTATGTTTAAACTATTTGTTCATGTCGTATTACCGAACATAAATATACTTTTACTCATCAAAAGTATTTGCAGTGTGACTCTTTTCTTTTGTTTTGCGTTTTAGATGGAACTCCAGTGTGACATTTGTTATGTTGATTTTGACCTGGACTTGCATCGACCCAAGAGCTTGCCTTGTGGACATACCATCTGTAAAGAGTGTGTGCAGAATCCGGAGTTGGGGAGGAGGTGCCCAACTTGCAGGAAGGTGAGGAAGTTCATATTTGTCCTGTGACGGCAGTCACTTTTGCTAATACATTTCCAATGCACTCTTTGTGTTTGGAGCGTTTGGAGGGTATCAAATTGTGTTTCCTAAAATCAGCAGAGTATTTGTTGTTCTTATAATTTTGATGATATATTAAATACAGAAATACAGTTTAGGTAACTAAACTTTTTTATAGCAAGAGGTGATGGTAGGTGTATGTTAAAACAAGGGAGAAGGAAAACACAAAATCAATTTTGTGTGAAAGATGAAAATCCTTCTTGACAGAGATCACACTTTATGTCATTATATGTCATTATAAGGAGCACGCGCTGAGAGATGCTTATTTATGGATCTTCTTGCCGTTTTTAGTAGAATTTAGCTAAGTTAAATATTAAGCAAGCAAAATTAAGGCCCCACCTGGCCACGGACCCTTGAGTAGAACACCAAGTGTGGCACATCACTGGATGTGTTTTGATGCGTAGATTTCATTTCTGGAAACAAAATTCAAAATTTTTGCAATGATAAGCCTATTTTTCAAAAAGGTTACTTTTTAGGTCATTTTCCAATAAGAGATCTATGGTAAACTTTGATAGCGTGGTGCGACCTTTTCCTGATGTCCAAGAAAGTTGAGTGAGGTGTCAAAAATTTTAGGTTTGCAAGTGGCATCTCGATCTGAGCACCCCCCCTAACTTTTTAAACATTCATTTTTTTTTGCCGCCCTCTAATGAAAGTGGGATCAGTTAAGGTGTGACACTGCACTGAGAACAATACTCGTTCTTTTTACCACCAAGAAGATGATGGTGGTATGGTACAGAACGAGTAAAAATCAAACACTTGTGTCAAAGGTGTAACATAGGCCTCAAAAATATGGTATCTGAAAACAAAATTGTGGATATACTAGATATTGGAAAGCTGACTGAGACTGATGTATTCTTGAACTAATGGAATCATGGGTCAAAAATGACATAAGATGACATCATAATTATGCATTCTTCTGATTCTTTGATATGCCTTGCAATAGAGTTTATCGCTGTTTACTTTTTTTTAAGGCTTAAAGCTTTATTTGCAATTTCTACTGCTTCTTTATTTCCCTTCAGGACCTGCCCGTTGACCTTGATGACCTTCCGGACACCATCCTAGCGATCCGACTGATTGAGAACGGTGGCGTCCCACCCCGCAAGAAGCCTAGAGGAGAGGACAGCGACCAGCAGCGGCTGCAGCGGGGCGTGGACGCGGGCAGGAAGGTGGTGGAGGCGCTGCGGCTGGCGGTCCCAAAGGCCGTGGAGGCGCTCAACCGCCAGCTGGACGCGTCCGTCGCCCAGCTCCTGCAGCTGGAGGAGGCCCTGGAGCAGGTGCAGCGGAGTGCCGCGGGTGATGAGGGCACCTCGCAGGAGCAGCTGCAGCTGGCCGTGCAGCTGGAGGACAGCCTCCACCTGCTCACCACCAACAAGTGCAGCGTCGTCTCGGAGGAAGAGGGTGGGCCCACCTGGAAGGCCGATGTGCAGCTCGACTCGTTCGGCGACGTCTTCCGCCTTCTGTTGCTGCAGCTGCGCGCGGACGGCCAGCTGGCCAAGGTAAGCCACCGGCCAGGACGGCCATCTCTGTTGATCTCGGCATGGTGCTCGGTTTGTTGCTTTATTTGATGTCATTCTCGTCCAGGTTGACGACGTCGCTGTCCCCTGCTCCCCAGACGCTTACGTGGGACCGTCAAAGCATACCATTCTCACCATAAAAGACGAGGATCTCACAGCAGGCGACTTAAAAGTGAATGACGTCCTACGTGCAAAAAGGCCGTGGAAGCACATACGCTGCATTAAGGGCTTGAAGGGCAAGGGTTCGGACCAGCTGCTGCGCGTCCTTTCGCCTCACCTCTTGCATCTCGAGGAGCTCGGGTGCTCGGGTCCGGTAGAACCGAAGGTCCTGGAGGAGGTGCTCAAACTGACTTCACTCAAAAGGCTAGACATCCAATGCGATGACAAGCGTGACGACTACCCAGACCTGCCGTTGCAGCTAGAAGAGCTGGAAATAAACTTCCCAAGCGAGCGTCAGCTGCGCTGTGTGCAACGCATGCCTGCTCTGAGGAGCCTACAGGTGTTGAATTACAGTGGTCCAAATGTAACCTTCACTCCCTCACAGTACGGGACACTGCGATGGCTGTTCGCGGGCCTCGACACTGATCACAAACCCACCATGCTCTCCCTGGTGCGCGCCCACGCCTCATCGCTGCAGGAGCTGAAGGTGTTCTGCAGCAGCAGTAAAGAAGCAATGAGCGGTGGTTACTATTTCCCCGACCTAGGCCAGGAGATATCTGTATGCCGCCTGCTGCACCTCCGCCGGCTAGTACTCGCTCGTCCAACCACCGACCCGTGCACGGATCTCGCTGGCTGCCTGGAGCAGCGTCGGCAACAACGTGCCTTCCTGCCCTCGTCCGTCAAGGTGGTTTGCAGCGCGTGTTCGAGCTCTCCCGAAGTGTACCTACAGTGAGGCGCCCATCGCCGTAGAGGCGGTCAGTGGGAGGCGGCGCACCCACGGTGCTTCATTCGGCCCACCCCCGCACTAGGGGTGCGACCGGGAGGGGGAGGGGGGGCACCGCCACACGGTGGAGGTTAGCCGGAGTGAAGCCGTCGCAGTATACGGATCACTCCGGTGGGTGTCAACTCCATTCACTAGCCCACCTTGCTCTTCCCGCTCTCCCTCTCACTGCCGGAGCTGTAGCAGGTGTACTTCACTACCAGAGATGCCCGCAAAGGAGGCATCTTTTGTAGTGAACGCTCAACACGCCCGCACTACGGGCAGGCTGGAAGTTCCTCGTCGTCCAAGACATGCCGCCAACACGTTTTAAAGTCGTTACATCCTGCTCTCGCTGCCCGTCCAGAGACAGAGACCGGAGCGCTCCCAGTGCCCGAGCAGGTATGGGGTGGAGCGAGCGCCTGACGGCGGCCGGGTAGGCCACCCGCACCGACTTGGAGCGCGGCGGGCGCGCCTACCGCCTACCTCGCAGGGGGCTCGGGTGCGGCGGGGCGGGCGGCAAAGTCGCGACCAAGTCGCCTCCGGGCCCTGCGCCGGAGCTGGACAACGCCTCACATTTCTATAAGCAGTAACACAATTTGTTCAAAAACTTGTACAGTATAATTTTTTCAGAAATGTAGTTCGAGATGACTCTTTTGGGTTAATTGCTCTGTGTGGTTAAGTCAGGAGAATGAATGGGCTGGTCTTACCAATAAATTGTATAAATAAAATAGTAAATATATAATTGTTGTATGTGCCATATTTTAGGTTGAATACAGTTTTTTTTTACAAATAAAATATTGTGGACTGATTGTCTTTTGAATCCCGTAAAATTTGTCTTGTCTCTAGTAAAGATTCCTTATCCTAGATTTGGTAATGCCACTCGTAACATAACACCATATGCAAGCATAATTGAATCCCAAGCAGGTGAAAGAACGCCTGATGACCGACCCGCACTTTTTCAATTTGAACTGCGCACCTCATCGCGCGTGCGTGGTGCGGTGCATTGTGGTCCCAGAGGGCCCGCCAATGGGAGCGCTTGTTTACCTAACCATGACCTTGGCGGACGTGTTTCGACTGTCATAGCACTTCTACTTCACGCACAACAACAACATAACCTGATCTCGAGAACATATCTAATGTTTTAAATCGTGTTTCCCTTCGGTAGTGCTTACATCGACAACCCAGGCTGCGTCCCCCTTTTACTGCTTGTGTCTGTGATGCGATCTGGACAACCTGTCAATGCTTCGGTTTTCCTGTACCCAAAACAACCACCTGTGAAAAAGTAGATGTGGGGTTCCATTTATTTAATTTAGTTGACAAAGTTATCAATCATCAATGAAAAACGGGTAGTGTCTGTGGATCAAAGCTCCCATTGTTTAATTTGACTACTACTGATTTATCCTCCACCCTTGAATGCAACAATTCATTATTGTAAGTCTACCATTTATTTTTACGTCATGGTGTAATGTGATGTATTATGGTTGAATTTAAAGTTATAGTCGTCCCTGCGATACTTTGTTCTTTGGGTCCCATAAGCGGCACTGCTGCTGCCCTGGGACCCAAAGACCAAAGTAACGCTGGGCTTATATTTCTAGTAGGCCAAACTACTTGCAGTGTGACTCTTTTCTTTTGTGTTTTAGATGGAACTCCAGTGCGACATTTGTTTTTTCAATTTTGATCTGGACACCCATCGACCCAAGAGCCTTCCCTGTGGACACACCCTTTGTAAAGAATGCATCCTGAACTCAGGTTTTGAGGGGAAGTGTCCCACTTGCAGGAGGGTGAGTAATTTCAAATTGCCCTGTTATTCTTTTAAAACTATTTTCTTGATAATTGAAATTTATACTAAAATTCACAAGCTAAATTATTTGACAATTTTAAAACCAAGAACTGAGGTTTACTGTAAACTACTAGAAAGATAGGCATACTGTACAAATTTTGCCTCTTTGTTTCCGATCACTGCATATCCTGAGAGACTATTTGCGTACACTATGGCCACATTTTCAAGTGTGGCAATGAGATAGAATGCATAACCATTGATGGTACAACAGGCTCATAGCATGTTTGCCAATTATTTATTAGTTGTGAAGAGCCTGTATTCCCTTCCATTTGGGGATCAGGCTCGCGATCCCTACCAATTTTGGTTGCTTTGTGCCAAGGAGTACAACTTTCGCGTGTGAGAACTCCTTCCCATTCAAACATAGGATGCAAGAAATATCCAAAAGTAGTTTTGTGTACAAGATTGGAAAAAAAGCCTAACTATCTTTAGAACTTGTTGACTAGCATAGAACAGTGCTTTACAAGGAAAAAAATAATTTAGTTTCTGTATTTGAAAATTGACTATGAAGCGACTACTGATTAATTAGTCATGGCAACGCAAAATTTGCCATAGAGGCAAACGTGTTAGGCAGGGAAGCAAAGTTGGTCAGATGCTGCAACCAATAAAAAATGCGTATTAGCAGCCAAGAAATTTTTGGTCCCTGCCACTAATTTTTTGACTGTGGCTCGTGAGATATCAGTTTCATCAGTAAAAATATAAGTAGTCGCAAAATTAACTGAAATATCAGTTCTGGCAACTATCAGCAACTATCTCTGTTGCAATAACATTTTTTTTTCCGTGTATGTCCGAGACAAATACAACAAGAAACTTGTTTTTAAGGCCTGTCTGACGAATTATTATTAGGTGTTTTTGCATATTTTTATGGTAAATAGGGTTTGCTGCAAGAAACAATTCAAAGGAAATAAATTTTATATCGTTGGCTGGAGGCTAAGCAGGTTTCGTCGTGAGCTGGCTCCCCCGATCGCCTCGCTGCTGGTCGAGATGTGAACCTCCCCTGTTGTCTATCACAGGACCTGGCGGCGCACCCTCGTGACCTCCCCGACAACTTCTCCCTGCTGCGACTGGTTGAGGACCCCATCCCGCCACCCCGCAGGGAGGTGCAGCTGCTGCAGCGGGGCGTGGACGCGGGCAGGAAGGTGGTGGAGGCGCTGCGGCTGGCGGTCCCCAAGGCCGTGGAGGCGCTGACCCTCCAGCTGGACACGTCCGTCGCCCAGCTCCTGCAGCTGGAGGAGGCGCTGCAGCAGCAGGTGCAGCGGAACGCACGCGACGATGGGGGCACCCCGCCGCCGCCGGTGGAGCAGCTGCAGCTGGCGGTGCAGCTGGAGGACAGCCTCCGCCTGCTCACCACCAACGAGTGCAGCGTCGTCGCAGAGGAGGAGGACGGGCCCACCTGGAAGGCGGCTCTGCAGCTCGGCGGGTTTGGTGACATTCTGCGGATGCTGCTCCTGCAGCTGCGAGCGGACGGACAGCTGCAGAAGGTAAAGCAACCCGTCAGGCAGCGGCCTATGAAGTGAATAGTAACCTATCGGTGTAGTCTCATGCGCTCTTTCCCCCCAGGTGGCCGACGTCGCTGTCCCTGCCGCGCCTGCGGCCTACGTGGGGCCGCCGATGACCACCACCCTCACCATGTACGTCAATGATTTCGACGAGGGACGTTTGGAGGTGGATGACATCCTACGAGACGAACGGAGGTGGAAGAATGCACGCGCCATCAGGGGCCTACAGGGCAGGGGCTCGGACAAGCTGCTGCGGGTCTTGGCCCCTCAACTGCCCCACCTCGAGGAGCTCGATATTTTGGGTGAAGTTGAGGCGGGGGTGATGGAGCAGGTTGGGACACTGTCTTCACTGAAGCGGCTGAAGGTCCAGTACGACTGGGACTTGGACTACCCGGACCTGCCGCTGCAGCTCGAGGAGCTGTCCATGGCGTATGTGAGAGGAAGTCAGCTGCGCCGTGTGCTGGCCATGCCCGGGTTGCGCAGTCTGTTCGTTAAAGCTTACTCTGGCCCAAATATAAGCTTCGCCCCCTCCCAGCACGGCAGTCTGCTGTGGCTGCGCGTCGCCTTCCATTCGACCAACAAGTCGACCATGCTCTCGTTCATCGGCGCCTTCGCCTCGTCACTGCAGTCGCTCCAGTTCTACTCTCCGGTCAACGACAAGAAGGAATATAACCCGGACTACTACCACCCCGACCTGGGCAGGCTCCTCGCGGCCTGCGGCCTGCGGGCGCTCAGGCGGCTCGTCCTCGAACGCCCGACAAGAGACGAGCCGTGCACCGAGATCGCCGCCTGCTTGTTACAGCAGCAGACCCTCCGGAGCTCCCTGCCCTCGTCCGTGGAGGTGGTTTGCGGCTCGTGTCACGCACCCCTATTCTGTCCCAGGGCTGAAGCCGCCACATGAGCGCGAGCGTGTCCTCTGGCATGGCCACGGTGGTGGAGGAAATAGCGAGGACCAAGCTAGCAAAGCTCTGATTATTATTTTGTTCAAAAACAGCTGTGATTTACCATATAGGACGGGTGCTCACTTTTGTACTCTTAAACCCAATATCACGATACGTGTATTTCTTTTTATCTCTATAGTGTTTTAAGCGTATGTGTGGTTACTGTTAAGTTGTAATTATAGAACAAAAAATGATAAAAACTTTTGTGTTGCATTTCTATCTGCCTAACTAATTTTAATATTAAAAATAATAATAAAGAAAATGGATTGCATTTAAATTAACCTTTGTTTCACGAGCAATCTGCTTCGCAATGCGCAGCACAGACACGTGCGGTGGGAATGGGGAGCTGTGAGTGGGAGCGAGCGCCTGGCGGCGGCGGGGTAGGCCACCGAGTCAGCAGTAGGGCGCGGCGGGCGTGCCGACCCCCGACCCCGCAGGCGCTCCAGAAGCCGACACGGCCACCACCACCTCGGCACAGCGGCGGGCTCCCCGGGGGTAAGGGGGGGAGGGTGGGAAGGGTTCTGAAGCTTTATCATTTAAAGTTCATACCGAGGGGAAAGGGGGAAAAGCAAACTACAACTACCTCCCTACCGGTTAGCCTACTCGAGCCTCCGGTCAGCGCCTTGTCGCATGTACACCAACGACGACTCACATTCCTCGCCCGGAAGGGAAGAAGAAAGAAACTACCGGTGTGTTTTGATTCGCCGCTCGCAACTTAAAACATAACCTCATAACCTGACCCAGGGTACTTCTAAATGTAAATTGAGTTCCCCTGCTGTTAGCACTTTACTTCGGCGACTAAGTCTCTGTTATTGTGTGTGCTGCCCGCCCATACGTCTGGTTTGGAACGCCTGTCTGTGCTTTGTTCAATGAAGAATAACCGCTGGGTAATTCGTTTTACCGAGTTGGCAAAAGTAATCAATAATTTTTGATTAGTACAATCAACAATTGCACTGCAGCAGAGTCATAGCTCTAGTTGTCTTCGTTTTTCCAACTGTTTTAACCTCTAAACTACACTAAGCATTTAATTGATGTAAGTTGAAATCATATTTTTATGGGGGCATTGTGATGCATTCAAAGTTAAACATGAAGTCATGTTTAGTTAAACAGGGTACTTACAGTGTTGACTCTCTTCTTTTCCTTTGTTTTTAGATGGAACTCCAGTGTGACATTTGTTTTATTGATTTTGACCTGGGTTCACATAGACCCAAAAGCTTACCCTGCGGACACACCATCTGTAAAGAATGCGTCCTAAACCCAGGTTTGGAGAGGAAGTGCCCCACTTGTAGGAAGGTGAGTTAAGTTTAAATAATTCCCCTTTTAGGGCTGTTTCTTCTATTGTATAATTCTGCTTGTAGTAATTCTCTGAGCACTCTTTGTTTTTGTGGAGCATATCAAATTGTGTTGGCAAAAATCATTTGGCAAAATTATTTTTCTTATA